CCCTCTCTCTCTGCTCTTCCTCCCCCCGAAGAAGAACAGGAGGAAGAGGAGGAAGGGTCCCTTCTGGGGGGAACAGCGGAGGAGGAGGAGGAGGGGGAGGAAGAGGTAGAGGGAGGGGCCGCCGGGTAGGGGAGGAGGGGAGGGAAGGAAAAGGAGGAGGAGGAGAGGAGGAGAGGAGGAGAGGAGAGGAGGAGAAGGAAGAGGGAGGAAGGAAGAAGAAGAAAAAGGAGAGAGAGGAGAAAGAGAGGAGAAGGAAGGAAGAAGGAGAAAAATAGAAGGAAGAAGAGGGAGGAGGAGGAAGGAAGGAGGAAAAGGAGAAGGAAGGAAAGAAAAAGAAAAAGAGTAGGGGAGAAAGACGAAGGAAGGAAAAGGAGAGAGGGAGGATGGAAGGAAGGAAAAAGGAAAGAGGAAGGAAGGGAAAAAGGAGAGAGGAAGGAAAGAAGAAAGAAAAAGAGGGAAGAAAGAAAAGGATGGAAGGGAAGAAAGAAGGGGGGAAAGAGAGGAGGAAGGAAGAAAAGGAGAGGGGAAGGAAGAGAATTGATTGTGTAAGTAAGAATGAAAATGAGTATGTTAAAAATAGTGAGGATTAAATAATAATGCAGTTGTATGGTGTAGTGAATAGAGGTCGTGGAAAATTAGCAATTCAGAAAAAATGATAGAGAAAGTGTAGTATGAAAAAGAAAAAGAAGTGTGGAAGAGTATAAAGAAGTAAAAAAAGAAAAAGAGTAGACAAATATTATAAATAAAATTAAATTGAAATAATAATAATAGGAGGGAAGACAATTAGTATGTAATTACAATTAAAAGAATAAGAAAATACTTAGGTTTATTAATAGAGGATGGATTTGAACTAAGTAAGATTAATAAAAATCAGGTAGGAAGGAATATTTGGAATATGAGTAATGAATAGAAAAAATGTTTAGATTAGTGAATTACTATATTGTAGAAAGGTGACAAAATAAATAAAAAAATTAGTGTTATAAATATATTCTCTTATTGTAGTTAACGGTAATTAACAAAATTAGAATCTTTTCATTAAAATGTGCCGATATAAAGGAATTTAATTAAGGAAATAATTATTAAAGTATGATGGGGGATAAGTTATTATGCATTTATTAATGAAAGCAGAAAAAAATGAGAGGAAGAAGATGGAAGGCAGGAAGAAGAAAGAAGAAGAGGGGAGGAAGACAGGCAGGATGGAAGGAAAAGAAGGAGGACGAGAGGGAGAGAGAAAGAAAGGAAAAAGGATGAAGGGAGGAAGAAAGAAGAAAAGGAGATGGGAAGGAATAGAGTATGGATGGAAAGAAGAAAGGAAAGAAAGAAGAGGAGGGAAGAAAGAAGAAAAGGAGGTAGGTAGAGAGGATGGAAGCAAGGAAAAGCGGAGAAGGAAGAAGAGGGGAGGATGGAAAGAAGGAATTGAAGGAAGGAGGGAATGGAAATCATAGAATCAAAGAGTTGGAAGAGACCTCATGGGCCATCCAATCCAACCCCATTCTGCCAAGAAGTAGGAATATTGCATTCAAATCACCCCTGACAGATGGCCATCCAGCCTCTGTTTAAAAGCTTCCAAAGAAGGAGCCTCCACCACACTCCGGGGCAGAGAGTTCCACTGCTGAATGGCTCTCACAGTCAGGAAGTTCTTCCTCATGTTCAGATGGAATCTCCTCTCTTGTAGTTTGAAGCCATTGTTCCTGCGTCCTAGTCTCCAAGGAAGCAGAACACAAGCTTGCTCCCTCCTCCTCCCTGTGGCTTCCTCTCACATATTTATACATGGCTATCATATCTCCTCTCAGCCTTCTCTTCTTCAGGCTAAACATGCCCAGCTCCTTAAGCCGCTCCTCATAGGGCTTGTTCTCCAGACCCTTGATCATTTTAGTCGAAAGGAAAGGAAGAGAAGGTTAGGGTTCCTCTAAAGTGCTTCCCCTCTTCTTTTTCCAGCAAATAACCCCCCAACCCCACTTTCCCCCTCTTTCCAAAATTTATCCCGGAGGGTCTCACCTTCTGAGATGTCCAGTTTCCTTAAGCGTCGAAGTGCTGCCTTACCTCAGGCCTGTCTCCAAGTGCATCTGCACTGTAGAATGAATGCAGTTTGGCAGGGCCTTGGTTGCCATCGTTTTGGGATCCTGGGAGTTGTAGTTTCATGGAAGGGGAAGGAACTTCACAAAGCTGGTGGCACATGAAAAAGACTGATCCTAACAAGGATGTGGAATGAGAGGTTCCTTGGTTTTTTTCTGGCATTTAAGCGGAAGGGTCAACAGATGGGCCCATTGTCAGAAATATTAAAAATTAACTAAGTATTTTTAATTACAAAAATGTGAGACAAGCACTGAAAGGGTTAAATGGATGCAATGATTCAGCAAAAGCTGCAGTTCAATGTAAGCAGGTGTGCCTGTTCCGGGCCTGTAAATAATTGTCTTTAAATAGGACGGATGACTTGAGCCCAGGGGGAAGCCAGGAGCCCCTGAAGAGAAGTTCTCAGAGGTTTTCCACCACAAATGGTCTTTAGATGGCTTGTGAAGTATAACAAAGTCCTTTATTAATGAACAATCAAACAGAAACTTCTCTTGTCTTCAGAAAGTTAAACAAATGATTTCAGGCTTTTATGCAACTGGTGGCTTCCTAATCTTGTCCACGAAGGACAGGCAATTGTCTTCAATAACTAATTATTTGCTTTAAAGGAAAATCCCCTTTTAAAACTTCTCCCAGGCTGACTGTAATCTAATTCTTACTGATGTGGGCTCCACTACCGGGTCGAATTGCGTCTCGAACGCCGAGTGGACCTACCAGTAAGGCTAGTAGATTCTCCAGCTGGAGTTCTTTGGTCTTTAGGGCTGTTGTTCATTCGTTCAGTCGTCTCCAACTCTTTGTGATCTCATGGACCAGCCCACGCCAGAGCTCCCTGTCGGCCGTCACCACCCCCAGCTCCTTCAAGGTCAGTCCAGTCACTTCAAGGATGCCATCCATCCATCTTGCCCTTGGTCTGCCCCTCTTCCTTTTGCCTTCCACTTTCCCCAGCATAATTGTCTTCTCTAGGCTTTTCTGTCTCCTCATGATGTGGCCAAAGTACTTCCACTTTGTTTCTAGTCTCCTTCCCTCCAATGAGCAGTCGGGCTTTATTTCCTGGAGGATGGACTGGTTGGATCTTCTCGCAGTCCAAGGCACTCTCAGAACTTTCCTCCAACACCACAGCTCAAAAGCATCGATCTTCCTTCGCTCAGCCTTCCCAAGGTCCAGCTCTCACATCCGTAGGTGACTACAGGGAATACCATGGCTTTGACTAGGCAATGGATCTTTGTTGCCAGTCTGATGTCTCTGCTCTTGACTATTTTATCGAGACTGGACATTGCTCTCCTCCCAAGAAGTAAGCGTCTTCTGATTTCCTGGCCACAGTCTGCATCTGCAGTAATCTTTGCACCTAGAAATACAAAGTCTGTCACGGCCTCCACGTTTTCTCCCTCTTTTTCCATAATCTTGGTTTTTTTGATGTTTAGCTGCAACCCAGCTTTTGCTCTTTCTTCTTTCACCTTGATTAGAAGGCTCCTCAGCTCCTCCTCGCTTTCGGCCATCAGAGTGGTGTCATCTGCATATCTGAGGTTGTTAATGTTTCTTCCAGCCATTTTCACCCCAGCTTTGCATTCCTCAAGCCCCGCACATCCTCGCATGATGTGTTCTGCATACAAGTTAAAAAGGTTGGGTGAGAGGATGCAGCCTTGCCGTACGCCTTTCCCAATCTTGAACCAGTCTCCTGTTCCGTGGTCAGTTCTGACTGTGGCTCCTTGGTCCTTGTACAGATTCCTCAGGAGAGAGGGAAGGGGGCTTAGGATGCCTATTCCACCAAGAACTTTCCACAATTTAGGGCTGTTTCCCTGGAAATCTTTGGAGACTCTTAAGACTGTTTTCCCCCGGAAAGTCTTAAGGGTTGAAGCTTTTGTACAGGGGAAGCTTGCACACGTCCTGTACATTCGCTTTCCTTACTGAGACTAACTAAAAATGGCTCCCTTCCCTTCCCAATTGCCCTGAGCAAGGGGCGGAACCAAAACTTAACGATGATGGACAGGTGACTTGCCCTATGACTGCAACCAAAGGAAGCCACCTTTCTGCAGAACCCTGAAACCTAGGACTGCAAACAAACATTTAATACAAAGCAAATAAAGTTTGAGCTCCTGGTACAGCCGTACCAGCACAGTGCCTGTAGCTTAGTATGCCTCAGTGTTAGTATTCCTCAATCTGAGAGAGGCCTCAGTATGAGAAGGTTCCAGTGTGAGGTAGGCCTCAGTGTGAGAAGGTTTCAGTGAGCAAAGCCCCACGTTGAAGACATCGTGTGTGAAGATCCAATGTGAAGGCTGCTGTGTGTAAAAAGGCTACTGTGTCAAGCTCCTGTGTAAGTTCGGTGCGAGAGGAAGCTCAGTGAGAGCCAAGCTGTTTATCTGCATGGGAAAGAAGCCTAGCGTGGAAGCAAAGAAGGAAGTATAATGAACTTTGTGTTATTTATTTATTTACCATATTTGATACCGCCCTTCTCAACCCTAAGGCGACTCAGGGCGGTTCACAGTTGGCAACGTTTAATGCCTTAACAAATAAAACAATAATAAAATACTGTTAATACATTTGTGTAAGATATAAAAATATAAAAACCGTACAAAGCCATAAAAACATTATCCTTGTTAAAATCGTTATTCAATTGCATCGTCAGATTGTTCCACGATTTCGTATAGTTATGCTTGCTCAAAAAGCCTTGTTTTAACCTTTCTTTGAAAAGTCAGGAGGGAGGAGGCTGCTCTTATATCCCTGGGAAGGGTGTTCCACAGTCGAGGGGCCACCACAGAGAAGGCCCTGTCCCTCGTTCCCGCCAAATGCATCTGTGAGGAAGGCAGGACCGAGAGCAGGGCCTCCCAAGATCTTAGTGTCCTAGATGGTTCATAAGGAGGGATACATTCAGATAGGGAAGCTGGTAACCCTATTAGGAATTTCAACAACTAATTACATGATTTTTCTAACTA